ACACCGTACCACAGAACAAACGTCCTTCTGGCTTGATCCTCAGCCAGCAAGCTTCAGCCACTAAGCCCCGGGATGAAGAAGACACAGAGGAGCAAAACGCAGACTGTGCACGGACTTGCATACCTGTCTGAAGACTGCACGAGCAGTCGGCAGTCGGTAAGCCTGGTTCTGGATCCCCAAACCTGTTGCAAGAACATCTCCCCAACAAAGAAACTAGAAATCTGAGGCCCGGCCTCAACGAAGTGCTGTGGTGGTCCTGACATGTCCTCCTCCTCCTTCTTCTCATTCAACTGGCCATGGAGCGATGGAACCGAGCGGAGTCCGAAGTCCGAAGCCGATCAACACAGGAACAAGCGAGGCTTCGCTGCTGAGGTTTAGGAGTTTAGGGTTCTACTCTAGGTCGCATGGAGTTCTCAGAATTCCAGGAACTCCGATCTCATCGGCTGCGTTGGGACAACTGTCTTTGAAAGGTCAGGAAAGCCATGGAGCAGCCAGTGGCCTATGCACGTAATAGTAGATGTGATATCAAAGATGGGGACAGCGGGACGGTGCAGCAGCTTTTGCGCCCAGTCTTCAGAACAGGCAGCTGTTGAACGTGTCGTGGTGTCTGAATTCGAACTCATACGGACATCGGGGTCGCAGCACAGCGCGCGAATTACTCCGTGTGCAATCATAGGCTTCGTGCAGCATAGCAGAAACGGCTTTGCAATCCCGACAATGTTGCCAAGTGCGCATCCCGGAGGACCATAAAGGGAAAACATCGAGTGAAATGGTGAAATGGACAGGCACTTACTGCGGCTTCGAGGGCTCCAGCAATGATTTTACTTCGAAACTGAAGAACAAGATCAACGATTATATACAATATAGTATAACATATACCATGGTTATAAATAAATAAATATGTAAGCGCGTTCGGCGCTTGTGAGGAGCCTCACGCCTTCTGCACCACCTGGATTCACATTGAACATCCTATGATGGCACAGCAAAATGGGCAAGAGGCCCATTGAACAGAAGCACCGCAGCTTTAAGTATTGTAATTGCTTAGGTGGCCATTGCAGTGCTTGAACAGTGATTGGCCAACCTAGCGAACACTGTCGCATGGTTTCTGGAAGGGTTCCCCTTGTGATGCAGCGCCTGCGTGCCTATTCCCAGCTTACTCACTTTGCCTTCCTATTCCATTGGCGCGTGACATCGCAAGGACTCCCGTAAATCCGGGGGCTACTGGAACTCCACACCAGAGACACACCCCTCACTCGGAATAGTGATACTTCAAAGATGTAGCACACGTCGCAACCTGGGTGATCCCAGCACGCAAAGGCTTAGGATCTTCACGGCTGAAGGCTCCACGCTGTGTCTCTGCAGATGTCCGCTCAACTCCCAAGGCCAAGAAGCAGTAGAGGCAGGAAGATCAGGAAATTAAAGGCCCGGTTAGATGCTGCATTTGCCACACCTTGCGCCAAGCAATTGAAGCCATCCCAGCAGTAGCCTGCCAGACGACATGACAGGAAGTTTGCCTTCCCGGATTTCGGGAAGTAGGTGGCAATCGAAGATTGTTGAAGACCTCATTCCTCAAAGTCCAAACCTGAACCCAAACACTGTGAGCCTCAAGTCCTACACCCCACTCTGCTCCCCTATGAGTTCAGGACCGACCAGGAAATACGTCGACTTCGGAGTTCCAACTCCGAATCAAAACTGCTGAATCCGTACACGCGCAACGACGACGCATCATCCACTGCCCCCTTGCCGTGAGCTTCATAACGACAGCTAGTCAAACTCCAAACGAGAACTCTGTCCCACGCTTTCCCTGCCTATATCACACAGGCAAACTTCATTCTCGCAAACTGACCGTTCCGGCGAGCACGAGTAGTACGCACAAGTCGTCTGCGTGTCTCTCTCACCTTGGACAAGAAACACTTGGCTTGGCTTGAAGCACCCTTCCGGGTCACAAGCTCGAAGACACCCTCATTTCATCATCGGGTTTATCTAACTCAGTACTAGTACTGTTACGTACGGTTGTGATGTGCAGGCTCCACACCAAAATGTACTGAACTAAATCACTTGCGGCGCCCGGAAAGATAGTTACTTGATCTTGTGAAATGATGTACGGTTTACCCAGTCTGTGAGGAGCCCTAACATACACTCACCAAAAGCCTATAATCTTACTTCAACCCGCGACGAGCCAGCAATCCTTCTGACACACATGCCATGGCCAGAGCAACAGCCGTTCCGGAAAGAGCCAGTAAAGCAACCAACGGTTGGAATGACATTTTAACAAGTCGGGTCAACGTCCCGATTGTGCCGGCGCTTGTTCCCTTGTCTGATGTCGGACTGTTTGTCGATATTCTCGGCCGTCTGAGATGTGACCAATGTGGTGCTCCTAGGCGTTGCAACCGATGTTGCCGTCAGTGCGTCGCTCTGCTTTCGGTCCATCTGTGCGTCGGTCGCGATCCTCCACGCATCCTAGTCCCGCGGTGTCCTAGCCGAGCGGGATGAGCTTGTTGGTGCATGCATAGGTGGGTGGGTACACCACTGACGGGACAGGACCGAAAGATCGACATAGAGGTTGGGCGATGCATTGCCGCAAGCAGCCAAGTGACTACTGGGCAGCAAACTCGAAAGACAGACCCCTGGACTACCTGGTTCTCAGAATGCCGGCCAAGCAATGGTGGCATGTGCTGCACCACCGGCCCACAACTGCAACAGCAAACCACGAGCAAATCAGAATCAACCCTTTCGTCGGAAACAGCGTTTCAGCCGACACAAGAATCTGACTGGAGGCAGCCGAACGGCCGAACCGGACACGGATCGACCCCTTTTTTCAGCTTTGGCCGCGAGCACCCAGCGAAACCACAGGATGCAGGAAGACGACCCATGCACCGACTCAGACGTCGTGCGTAGCCTCACTGACACTACTACGACCGAGGCGGCGGTTGGACACCAACCGATGCAGCAACGGCACACCGGAGGTTGGAGGGACAGAGACCAGCGGCCCACACCTGTGAAGAATATCCCTTTCTGAAAGTTCCCACATGTGCCATGCACGGTGAATCTGAAGTCAAGGCACATGGTTCGGCTTGCCGTAAAGCACTCTGTTTGGTCAGGACCAAGAACAGCTCGGGCTTGAAGGACCTCAGCCACGCAGAGCGCTGACCAGCCGATTCCGACATGCCGGGAACCGATCCAGGCACCCACCGCTCGCTTCACTATACGACTGTAAGACACCTGTGACACTACGTCGCAAAGGCTCGCAGATCAGGATGGCTCGGGCCTTTTGCAAACAGGCGAATGTTGGCACAATCACAAGTCTAGAACTTGACACTGCCCGAAATACAGAAACAATGCACTTCCGGTGCCAATGGCCGCATGAAGGTCTAGCGACGCCGTCACGGACCCACTACTTGTAGATGTATCAAACCCATCTGCGACTAAAACCACATCAGGTCAATGCATCCTAGGGCCTCAGGTTAAATATGTCCATGTATAGGGGCCTGGTAGTGCATTCATACAGGGACCATGGGGGGGAGCATTCTTACTAACGGTTCCGAAACAGCGCACACGTAACCGAAGCAGCTCAAATGCCAAAAGCTTGCATCAGCACAGGCGGGGTGGATGGCGCCCCGAATAAATGACAATTCGAGGCACATGGTTTTGTTGAATCTCTCAACATATTCGGCTTCCGCTGGAGTCGTAGGCGGGCATAGGCCGCCTCACCGTGGTGGCACGGCTCTCGGTCAGTCCCAATGCTCTCAAGTTTCTTATGCCCACACATATGTATGTATGCATGCATGCAAGGGCATGCATGCATATATGTATAGAGAGAGAGAGACATGTATACACAAGCATTTAGGCATGCATGTATGCACGCATGCTTGCATGCATGCATGCACCTATATATCTATAGTATATATACACATATACGCAAACATATATGCAGATGTGTATGTCTATCATGTCAATGCAGGTACGTATGCAGGTATGTCTGTATGTGTTTACTTATATACAGATGTACATATGTATACGTATGTATGTATATGTACGTATGTATGTATGTATGCAAGTATGCAAGTACGCATGTAGGCATGTAGGTATGTAGGTATGTATGTCTGCATGTGTTAGAACTATCTTGCCAATGCATTGTACTGACTAAGGCTTTGTCGTTGAAACTTCAGGGCCTAAGGCTGTGTTGAGGTCATGTAGACTTCAGGACATGTCGTTTTCGGCAGGAGCTTTGAAACTGAGGCTTGGGAGATTCCGCTGGCTGCTTGTTCGAACAGCTTTGACTCATGTAGCAGCCCCAGCAGAAGGGAGAGCTTTCCCCTAAAATGCAAAATCGAAATGCAGGCCTGATAGCGGATCAGTGACGATTCCTGCACCACTGACGCTGGTGAAGATGACGCGGAGCGGGAAGGTATAGCCTTCTGGTATGAAACCTGCGAGCGATCCCATGCTTCTTTATTGCACGTGTGTGCATAAATATGTATGTGTATGTATCTATATATATATGTACGTGTAGATTTCTGTGCACTTGTGAACAACATTTTGATATTCGACACGGATAGCAATGTCATGCAGCATAAGCAACACGACGGTGGCAATCACGAAGACCGAGCGGACGAGGATTTCACAAACCAGAACACAACATCAAAAACAACAACAGCAAGCACCCCAACACGAAGACGAAGCCGACGAGACCGACAACAGTAGGCTCGTGTTCTCGTTAGTGCTGGCATCTACAAAACAAACCAAGTGTGCAAAGGCTAGTGTAACACCGCACAACACGACAGAATACATAGTGAAGCGCATGTCGAAGGAGAAGAGTACCAACAGCAAAGCGACATAACTGTCACGAGTTACCCTCACGATGCCTTCGAATCCCACCCCTGCGCATGAGAAGAAAGCCTGTGGCTGCGAGGTCATCCCGGCTCAAGCTTTGGGGCGTCGTGTAGCTGCACCCAGTAGGAGTGTTGCCTGGCTTGACACGTTCAATATTGATCTTGGCTTCTTTGGGGTGAGGCTGTGGGGGGTAGAAGAAGGACCCAAGCCCACCGTGGTCAGAATGCTTGAATGAATAAGCCAGCACATCGCCATGCTGAATGTCCCCCGAGTACTGCGGCTAACTCACTCCTGCTCCAACCCCTGCCGTACTCCTACTCCCGCCTACTACTGGCACCCCTGCTCCTACTCCTATGCTTCCACTCTTACCACCACTACTACTACTACTACTACTACTACTACTACTAATTACTGCGGCTACTACTACTACTACTACTACTACTACTACTAAGGGTCTCGGCTGGAACCCATTGCTGCAGCTAGCTGTTCTTTTCACCACATGGTCGTTTTGACTGGCGTTTCCGCGAGAGTTGCGCTGATACTGCTGCATATCACGTTCTGGAGAATGAACGTCCAGTCGTGCTGGTCCCAAGTCCAGCAGCATTCGGTACTTGAAGATATTCCATCGCCTCCCGGCTTGACACCGTTTGCAGACCCGGGGTTGGACGAGGTTCCACAACTCGTCCAGGAGCTCATAGAGCGAAATCTTCTGGTGGGAGAAAGTTTCACATTACTCCGGCAAGGAAGCGAGCCTATAGACGGGCCCGACAACGGGCAGCAGTTCATGGCCACACATTGTATCGAGGTCAGCAGCACACGGCGGCAAGCCTGCAGGCACAGCACCTGAGTGACGCGCCACCTCCTGCTCTCTCCAGGACTCGACACTCTGCGTGTGCTGAACAATCAGCCAAACCGCGCTTGCGAGCAAGAACGTGGAACATGGGAGGCTGCACTTCCGAATTGTATGATCTGTTGTGTGCATGGCTTGTGGAACAGGACGAACTGGATGTCCTCTTTTTACAGGAGATTCACTGGGGACTTGGAAAGGTTGAAACCCAGTGGAACATGGAGGGATGGACTTTTATTGTTTCTCCTGACCCAGACAACCGCTACGCTGGGGTTGCTATGGCCATTTCGCATCGTCTCGCCAAGTCTGATGCCCTCACGCTCTGCACGTGGGTGCCTGGACGTGTGCTGCAGGTCCGAGCGGAGATTCCTGGCCTGAACATTGATTTTCTTTGCCTCTATCAATGGGTTAGGGATCGTGAGCCCAAAGACCTGGATGCGTCCTCATGCTGGGCTGGTTGGTCGAGGACTTTTGCGCAGCACTGTCGACAAGGTGGATGAAGAATTGCTCACGCTAATTACGGAGCATGAGCTTTGTGTCTTAAACTCCTGGGGCAGCGCAAAACCTGCAAAGTGCGCCACTTTTCGAAATGGTTCGCAGGCATCGCAGCTGGACTTCTTTCTGGTCCGGAAGGATGTCGCAGATGCGAGCGCGCGCAGGTCAGCTCCTCTGGCAGTTGACTTAGCACCGTGGAGGAACGGCCCCAAGCATTGTGTGCTCGAGTGTAGCGTACCCAAACTCGCTGGATGGGTCACTGCCAAAAAGCACACGCCCCTACTCCAAGGCTGACTTGCGGTGGCATCTGAAGCATGACACAGCCACTGCACAGGCCTTCCGGACTGGTGTGTTGCAGACTGTGATGCAGACTCCACCGCACATCCCTGTACATGCCCTTAACGCACAGCTCCTGAGCCTTTGCCAGCAGCACTTCCCCTCAAAACCTTCTTCGTACAAGCGTGCAGGTGCTGATCCCGGAGTGAAACAGAGCATTAGGCAATTATGGACGCTGCATCGCCAGCTGCGAGTCACGAAACCGGGGTCCTCCTTTTTGCAGGTTTTCGCCGCCTGGCGGCGTTACACAATGTTCAGAAGGCAGTGGAAAACCCTTAGGGTAGCTAGCCGACAGGCTCGTCGAGCTAGAATTGGGGAGCTCGTTGACATGGCGCAGCAAGCGGCAGCCCGACATGACATGCGGGAAGTGTATCGTGTAGTACAGTTGCTTGCACCAAAGCGTAAATATGAGCCCGTGCGCATACGGTCCTCGGACGGTTCTGTACTCACCAAACATGAACAATTCCAGGAGCTTCTGGGATACTTCAGCACAGCTTTCTCGCGCAAAGACCACTTCCCGCATCAGTCCGAGTATGCGGATCTGCAATTGTCGGCGCCAGAGGTTGAGGCTGCAATCTGCAAGATGAAGCCCTTTAAAGCGGTTCCCCCTACTAGTCCTGTTGCTGAGGTTTGGCAGATATGCCCCGGACCCTTTGCGCAATACCTAGTCCAACACTTAGCTCACTGTAGAATGCAGAAGCAGCCTCTGCCGACAGAGGCCACAGCGTGCACGTTGGTGCTATTGCCAAAGCCGGGACGGCCGTCCAAACGGCCGCAAGATCTTAGACCCCTAGGACTCCAAGACCCGACCTCTAAGGTTTACGCCACTTTACTTCGGGATAAGCTTGAGCCCTATCTCCTCCCCTGGTTGGAAGATAAGCCCCAATACGCCTATATACCCGGTAGATCGATAGATGAGGCCATCCTTAGAGTATGCCGAAACTGCGAAGGCATCGGACGACCCCAGCAGCAGGCTAGTCCTACTGTGCATGCACAGCGACAGGGCATACCGCAGCCGAAGTGCATAGGAGGAGCTATACTCAGCTTAGATCTCAGTCGTGCCTTCGACGAGCTGCCGCGTGCTGCTCTGTCAGATGCCCTCACCGCTGCAGGTGTGCCGTCCTCGCTTTGTAATGCAGTCCTTGATGTGCATGAACAATGCCAATACACAATACGTCATCACGAAAGTATTGGATCCTTCTCCATGGCCAAGGGAGTTAGGCAAGGATGTGTCTTGTCACCCTTATTGTTCGCTGCATTTACAGGGCACTTCTTTCAGAAATTGCGAGAGCGTACCAACTCCTCCTGGGCTGAAAGTTTTGTGACACTCTTCGCAGATGATACTTTGCTCCAATGGGTAATAAATTCCACGAAAGATCTAGACTTTCTCTGCAGGAGCGTTCGCACAACGTTTCAGCTTTTCCAGGAAATGGGCATGACAGTGAATGCGGCCAAATCGAAACTTGCATTATCCCTGCGGGGCGGCGTGGCGAAGCGATGGCTGAAGTGCCGCCGACAGCGAAGCGGGAAGGGTTTTGTAGTAAGCTTAGGCACGCCTGCTTGTCCTCTTAACATTCCCCATGTTCCCAGCGTTACCTACCTCGGGGTGGTTATATCCTTGGACAATTTCGAGCTTCGCGCCTGTCGGCATCGCACGCAGATGGCCGGTTCGACTCGACATCGCCTGCTCCGGCTTTTGCACTCCTCTAGCCTCAGCTTGCGCACGCGCTTAGTCATGTACATGTCATGTGTTAGGAGCTCAATGCAATATGGGCTGCATGCTGTGGGCCTCACCACAGGTACCAATCGACTCCTTGAACAAAAAGATGCCAGGTATCTTCGTGCCATAAGTAAGAGCCCCGCACATTTAACGCATGAGTCCACTGACGCTCTTAGAGGCCGGTTGCGTGTGGCGTCACCACATGCTGCCCTGAGCAAGCTTCTTGCAAAGCGTGCTAAGAAGTGCTCGTCTGATGTTGGTCGTGATGGGTTTGCTGAAAATCATAGGCGACATCAACTGCTTGTTGACACAGAGCAAAGGATGTCGACAACCCACGGTAATCTAGTTGAAGTCCCGGACTGCAATCCTGTCGCCTGCAACATCTGCGGGCTTTACTTTTCCTGTATGCGGATCATGAAGTCACACCGCACTAGAAAGCATGGCCGCCTCCAGCAGCCCGCAAGGCCCACAGGTACGCAGTATACCAAGCACACAGTAGACGGGATGCCACAATGCATTCATATTCACTGCCGAAAAATTTTTACAAGGGTTGAAGGCTTAAAGAAGCACTTGAAGGGTTTTTGTAAAGTTCTTCATGCAGGCCCATCGATAGACTCTGTTGCCAGCGAGGTAGGAGGGGAGGTACCCCCCACACGTGGGGCATCGCTTTCTGGGTGCGCGCACCGGGTGCCCCCGGCAGCAGAGGAAGTCTCTGTGCCTCTGATGGACTGTCAAGAGTTTCGAGAAGCCGTGACTAAAAACTGGAAGGCGGTTCTTGCACATCCCTCATATGCGGCCTCCTTGGGCAAGTACTGCATTCTGTGTTCGCAGTGGGTGTCTGCTGTTGGCGGCATCAAACAACACCTGCGATTGTCTCATGCTGATGCCTGGACACACAAGACCCAAGAATACGCCCGGGCAGGCTTTGGACCATGGAGCCCGCGGACGCGCAGATCGCGAGCCAGACACGGCAGGAAGCCCTGGAAGTGTGGGGAGCGCCACAGCAGGCACCGGCCGAGCAGGCCGACCAGCCGATGCAGGAGGGACGACGCGAGGGCACTCGTGCGAGAGAGAACGACGAAGCTCGCAGGAGCAAGTGGCAACGGCCCAGCTACAAGGGCACGTTCGGGAACCAAGGCAAGGGAAACTCCCATGGCCATTGGTACGACGAGAAGGACCCCTGGTCGTCCGAAGCCTCGCCACTGCTGGAGCAAGAAAAAGAGCTTGTTCGCAACCTGACGAAGATGGTAATGCGACACGAGTCGGAGATGCGGTTGCTCAGGCAGGACTACGGATGGATGGTCTTCGTCGACACGACGGAAACGGGGATCCTGAAGCTTCTCCAGGACAAGTCGGATGTTTGGCAGCAGCTCTACAAGGACAAAAAGGTCACCAGCAGCCTTCGCACGGTCCTGGCCATCGTGATGTTTCAGGAGCTTCTTTCGAGGATCGACAAGCTCCACACGGATCAGGAGCGGATGACCAAGATGCACACGGTCGGATGGTTGGTCGAGGGCTCCCAGGCTGTCAATCCTCAGTGGACCTATCAGCAGTGGTCCCACGAGACCCAACAGGTCGAGAGGTCGCCGCAACCGCCGCTGGCCTTCACCCAAGCGCAGGAAGCCCTCCAGACCATCATCAAGTGCATCGGAGCTCCGGGAGTCCTCCTGAGGTTTCGTGCCACGCGGCCGATGACGGAAAAGATCACGAGCGAGGTTCTTCCGTTCGTCCTGATTCTTTCCACGCGGGGCACTATGGCGTCACAGGTCCATCAGGCCCTCTCTCTCCTGAATGGATGCGCGTGTTTGAAGGTCGCGGGCCTTCGCATCCGCCCGGACAGGGGCCAGCAAACACCGTTGGCCAAGGCGTTGGAAGCAACGTACACCGGGCTGCCGTATGCGGACTGGAGGCCTCGATCCCAACCGTGGAAGTCGAAGCCGGGACCAGGGGCCGAGGCGGACGACTCGCAGCTGTGAGAGTGCCAAGGCCGCCTGTTCGGTTCCGATTGTCCGCTGTGCTGGTTCCTCCACAGGGTCGCTTGCAAAACCCACATAATGTCTTTTACCTAAACTCAGCAGCGCAGGCCTTTGCATGGACCGGTCGACTGACAGTGGATGAGGACTCCTGTTACGGTTCCGTAGCTTCTGCCATGAAGCCAGTCTTGGATTCGGGAAGGCCGTATCTCCCAAACTGTTTTGCCTGGCATGCCCCCCTACGCGACTGGCCTAGACTAACCTTCCAGCAGGAAGTGTGTCAGTTCTTTCAGCACTTAGTGCAGCGCTCGCAACCGCCTGCATATCAGGGATCATGGCAAGCACGCCTAGAAGAGCCATTCCAAATAGTGGATGGAGGATCACTGCAAGCGCCGATCCTGATCGACTTTCCTGCAGGCCCGGACACTCCTGCCAGCCTTGAGGCTTTGCTGTCTACCTGGCATGAGCAGCATACTATCCATGCCATTGTTCAGCACTCTGGAGTTCTTCTGCTGCAGATCAAGCGGTATTCAGACGCACACGGACAACACTCCAAAAGCGCGCGTGCTGTCAGGTGGGAGCCAGGTGAGCGGGTCGCCGTTCCAGTTTTCTGCGAAGAGCAGGGGGTCCAGATCCGGTTCGACTATTTTAGGATTGCATACGCGATAGTGCACGTAGGGCCTCATACCAGTACTGGGCACTACCAGGCTGCACTTAGTGTCCCCGCCCCCATGCCGGATCCGGAGCGAGCGAATGCCACGGGGTGGCATTGTGCAGTTCTTAATGACAACAGTCGTCCCAGACGCGCTGGACCGAGGGATCAGTCTCTACTGCAACAAAACTGCTACCTAATGGGTCTCATTTGGGATCCGGGTCAATAGTCTGGGCTCCGTCAGAGATGCACCGTTTCCGAAGCGTGAAGGTGCACCGAGACAAAACAACGCTTCCTCCTTCTTACCTGTGCAGCGGGAACGCGCCAGGATAGATGTTTGTACAGTAGTTAATGTTGTTCACTGTCCAGTCAAGTAATGCCTCTCGTCACTGCCATCTGTATGCTCTGCATCCCGCCAGCACTATCAGCGAGATTTTGTAGCCGGCCGACATACTGCACCGCCAGTTGTGCCGTCGACTCAGTCTTGTAGCTTGGTACCAGAGTGGCCGCACACTGCATTGCTCCTCCAGTTTCGCCTATCCGCTGTTCTGCTCAACTATGCATATAGGCCCCGAGCACGATGGAGGTAGGCGTGATCGACCTGGGACTCCCGTCCTCCATATATTATGATGCTCTCGAGGAGTTCTTGCTACTCGAAGCTCTGCGCGATTTGTACTTGGCCCAATCTGGTAAGCAGGCGCCGAACGCTCTGTCTTTGGCACAGCGTAATGATCTGCTGCAGTATGCCAAGTTTGCGCTAGAGCCGGCACGCTTTAAGGCACTTCTTGAACATGCAGATATTTTGGGCCGAAGCCAGCCCTCAGTATCTCTCGAGCTTCCGAGGCAAGTTTTCAGCTCGGTTCCTCCATATAGCTGCACTGAGCGGTTTGCTCAGATGGTGATGACAGAAGAACAGTGCTCTATCTGGAGTGCTGCTCGTCTCATACTCACAAAACTTGACTACAAACCTGTTCGTACGAGGCCCGGTTCGGAGCCTATGGTCATCACTCGTTCTGTGGCATTGCCCAAGGCACGGTCCACAACCGTGCTGTGTGTGTGCTACTGAACTTACTTGTGCGAACCATTCGTCCAGATCACCGGTGGACCACATTGGTGATTACCAGGAACTGCGGAGTGGGTGTCCATCTGGACAAGCAGAATGCTCGACTTCCTTCCCTGGTTATTGGGATGAGCTATCACCGCGCCGGGGAACTCTGGGCTGCTGCCCCAGAAGGTGATGTCTTTGAAGAATACGAAAACCGAATGATACCGGGACATCTGTACCCGACCGCCATGAACGCTCTGCTGTTGAATGCTGCCACGCAGCTGCATGGACCAACGGCATCTACTGATGGAGATCGGGTGCTTCTGATCGCATATGTGATTGGGCAGCATCGCTCTCTAGAACGGCCGGCGCGCGCTGAGCTCGAGCATTTGGGTTTTGTCTTGCCCTCCTAGGTAGGGTTACCTGTGTCCACTCCTTCCCGTAAAGCCTCTGCTTTGCCCTCACCCTCGGCTGTGCCGTTCACGAGGGTCTGCTTTTACTTCTGTACTGGGATCTAAGTAGGGGGCACAGAATGCACGAGATACAATTTTGGTTGTGCATTGGAGTCTTTCCGTGCCCACGCCGGTCGCCGGCTCCAAAACACGACCAAAAAGGTGCGGGCCGCCCACATGAGAGTTCTGATTGCCAGGCCCAACAGTCATTGCCTCAAGCTGTTGAGTGCCTGTCACGCGGTAATGGCGTCCAGCATGCAACGGAGCATAGCAGAGCACTTGCCGGTTGAGCACTTTTTCACTGCAACTTAGGCCATGGCCACTCGCTCTGCGCGTCACGCTGCTGGCACTGCGACTGACACTGCTGTTGCTCTCAGGAGTTGTGCTACGATCGGCTGCCAGTTTCGGTATCCGCAGTCAATGCACCGTCACTGTTGCGGAGTGTGTGCACAGACACGAGCTCGCAGATGTCTTCATATGCAGCGGACGCTAGCACGTGAAAGGGTGGTTCCCAGGACTTTCACCCAGATCTGTCAGGTGGAGGGTTGCTCTCGAGCTGTCGGAAATGGTTTCTCCAGCTGCTGCAGCGAGTGTGGGTTTGGAGGCCACACGCGTCGATGCAATGCAACATGGAGGCAACTGCATGAAGTAAATATGGAGGTTCTGGAATCTCGAATGGCTGGCATGGCTACTGGTTCCAACTCCACGACCCACTTCGACAGTAGCTCGAATGAGATCGACCCAATCCCGACTGTTGAGGTGGCAGCTTGTACAGGTGGCGGTGTGGGTGCTATGAACTCGTCGGCTGCACTGCCGAGTGATAGCACTGACATCTGTCACGGTGCTCAGGGTACGACCGATGTAGAGCAGGAACTAGCACCCTCAGCCGAAGCTGTGGTGCTGGATTCCGCAGATGACCTTTTCGACCTGGCTGCTCTTGACTGACAGTTACGAGTTTAGTTATCTTGATCGATCCTGCCACTCACGATCATGATTGATCTTTGGCTTTTCGGATCATCACTCTTTGATGTGGGCCGTAACGAATGCGGTGAGGCCACTGAGTCTCCGGAGCATGTACCGTACATGTCTCTGCCATCTCCCTCGCTTTCATCGAACATACGGTGTGCGTCCTGAATGAATACTACTACTACTACTACTACTACTACTACTACTACTACTACTACTACTACTACGACCACTACTACTACTACTACTACTACTACTACTACTACTACTACTACTACTACTACGACTACTACTACTACTACTACTACTACTACTACTACTTCTGCTGATGCTACTACTCGACGGCTACTGCCAGTACTACCACTACCACTACCACTACTACTACTACTACTACTACTACTACTACTACTACTACTAATACTACTACTACTACTACTACTACTACTACTACTACTACTACTACTACTACTACTACTACTACTACTACTACTACTACTGCTACGACTACTGCTACTACGACTACTGCTACTACTGCTACTACTGCTACTACTACTGCTACTACTACCACGACCGCAACCACGAACACGACCACAGCCACGGCCACGACCACCACCACTGCTACTCGAACTGCTGCTGCTGCTACTACCACTACTACTACCACTACCACTACTACGACTACTACTACTACTACTACTACTACTACTACTACTAGTGCTACTACTACCATTATTACTACTACTACGACGACGACTACTACTACTGCCACCGCTGATGCTTCTGCTTTCCACCGCAGCTGCGTTCTCAAACTGCGGCAACCAGGAGTACGACTGCAACTCGACCACCACGAACGACAAAAAACGCCGACAATCTGATTTGCATTCAAGCCCAGGCACAGGAGCTTGCAGAGACACAGCTGGAAATGCCTCATGCCATGAGTCGGATCATGGTCACCATGGTGATGATCATGGTCACAACTTCTATCTTTACTGTAAAGGTGCAGGAGCGATGATCTTAAGAGAAATGGGCTCAAGAGAAACGGGCTGTCGCACGGTCGGGCTTCAGGCTGATGAACTGTTGAAAAATTGATAACAGTGGTCGCAGGAAGCACGCAGGTACGTAAGGCCACGGCCGTAGTGGTCGTAGCACTTCTGGCATTCCATGAAGTCGCCGTTCCGACTTCCAGCGGCGGTGACGGTGCAAAGGTCTGGCTTGTCAAACGAATTTGCTCGGCGGCGGCGGTGGTCGCTATATGCATCTCCGTACATGCTGTTGTAGGCATATGCAGCCCCAGCACCAACCACAGCTGCAGCAGCCGCTGCTCCTGCCGCATAAATGGCCACATTAGTGTTCGAGTTGGCTGAGACAGCATCCGAGCCAGAGAAACCATAGTTGGTTTGATGAGGCATGGTCCCACCATGGTTGTTCATCATGTCGTTCTTGCTGTTGTAGCCGTAGGGCGTACTTCTCCTTCGCCTTGTTGTCGACGGCGAGGGCGACGGCGATGGCGAGGGCGATGGCGACGGGGACGGAGTTGGGGTTACGGCACGGCGCCGCGGACTGACAGTGGGCGACGGGGACGGAGTGGTGGTCGTTACGGCACGGCGCCGCGGACTAACAGTCGGCGAGGGGGACGGAGTAGTGGTCGTTACGGCACGGCGCCGCGGACTAACAGTCGGCGAGGGGGACGGAGTAGTGGTTGGTGATGGAGTGGCACGCCGCCGTGGACTGAGAGTGGTGGTGGGTGCACGTCTGCGGCGGGGAGTCATCGTGTTTGTCTTGCCGATGCCAGTGCTGCGACGACGGCCAGTTGATACGACAGGTGGCGTCGGAGGAGGCGTTCTGCGGCGAACTGCTCGGCGCCGTGGGGTTGTCGGGGTAGCTCTGCGACGGGGAGTGTAAGCAGAAGGTGCCGACGGAGCTCGCCTTCTCGCTGTAGTAGGAGGCGCAGGTGGAGAGCGTCGCCGACGTGCAGTCGAGGTGGCAGTCCTGCGTCTGCGGGCAGTTGCACCGGTGCGTCTTCTGGCTGAGAGTCGCCGCTCCTGCTCAGACTCATCATCTGGGTCCACCTCCTGGGTACGGTCCGGTTGCCAAAAGACAAAGCCGGGCGAGGACTCATGGAGTTACAGTAATCCTTTGACCGAAAAGAACCGGATGTCAACCCCAAGCTCCCGTTCCCAATGGCCTCATCGAGAGCTTCCGCAACCATCTGACCCAGCCTTCTGAGAGCACGCCTCCGGGTGGCAAGGCACGAGTCGGATGTCTCGTCATAGTTTGTTGACGGGTCATCACCTGAGGATGTCTTTCTGCACAGAGCATGGTCGCTGTCACGGCTGGCCGTCCCCAGACATCATGCATCGCGACTGAAACTAGCTTCAACAAGCAGCTTCCTTCACAACCCCGGAAACTGACACCACACAGCCCAGACCACAACTCGCAGGCGTCTCGAACAAACAGGCTCGGGCGCATGTCTCGTAGCTGAAATAGTATCCAGTGCCAAGCCAGGACAATTTGGCGATAGGGCAAGCCTTGGAGTATGTCTGAATGCAGGCCAGCATGGCATGTCTTACTTGTCGATCCCACTACGATGCTACGAGTTCAGCAGCAGTAGCCCTCCGCAACGACTTTCCGAACTCGGAAACCGCGAATCCCGGAATCAGCATGGAGTCTTCTGACTCGCCGGAGAGCATTGTCGACGTAGCACCATGCATCGCAGCACCACTCGTGATCAGATTGAGTAAACCACTGGGAGTCCGAATCAGTGCCTTAGGGTGCAGGGCGCTGGAAAGCAAGCCAGAAGCCGAACATGGACTTGTAGCGCCGCAACTCGACAGCCAGTTTGGCGAAGGGGCTCCACGTCGCCTTGCAGTCAGTGGCATCCCACGCACTGCCTGAGACAACCATGTCTATGGAGGCAGGCAGTCCCTTTTGATGCTTACGCTTTGAATATGTTCGAGGCCTTGGATTCTGCAACCCTGGGGTGGACCTTTCATTGCATGGTCTAGGCTGCGGCAAACTCATGACAGTCTCACATTTGTATCCGCCGGGGGTTGGGGACCTAGTGCTCACTCTAGCCATACTTCCACGTCTACAGTTCCGGAATCAGACGGAGCAATGTGGTACTCTTATCCACAACCATAACCGTCAGTCGGGTTTCCGGCGCTCAGCAGCACAAGGACCAAGAAACTAGCCTTCAAAATGAAACCATAAGTATATACGAGAAGGAATGAAGCTGCGACCTTGGTGCATGAGGAGCCGTAGGAGCTGGCGAATCCCGAGGGCAGCGTCCCGCTTGGCAGCGAGCCACGGCACCTCAGTGACTCGGGCTGACTCGGGCTTTGTTAGGCAAATTGTTTTGAAGATTTCATGGTGCACGCTGTGCTGCTGTGCTGAGAGGTGCTTTGGACTTTGGCGGTGAGAAATTTCTGAATGTCTCACGGCAGGGAATGAATGTGTAGAACAGCAGCTGTCGAGAAGAGACGACGGCAATGCTGCTTGACAGCTTCAGCATGTGAGTCTACTCTGGGTCCAGGGATTCTTCAAGTTCCAAGGAGCTCGCAGACGCGTGAGTATTTGCAGCTCGAGATCACGTCCGCGTCCATCTCGCAGCCCGCGGTGCTGAAGAATTTCCCGGCCCACAGCGTTGATGCTCGTGCATGTGGACAGCTCTGGTCAACCCAACACCACGACATGCAGCACCACATGTCATGCGAGGCATATGGATAGGTAGTCTCGCAGATGGTCGCATCGTGAGGAGCACACTGCCGACCGTAGTCCGCGTAGATAGTCGAGTCCAGGCCAGCCTGCAAAAGATAGACAAGCCGCAGGCATGGAAACACCAGTGTCAGCACTACAACAAAGACCAAGACAGAGTTGACTACCGTCATTCCAAACCGCAGCACCCAGCACGAACGAACTGAGTAATGGTTGGTCGGTCCACATCTTGACTAAAATTGGGCTGACGGTCGTTCTAGTGGCCGCTAGTTGCACCAGCAGCAAGCATGTTGGGATTTATCTGAAATAGCATCGGCTATCCTCTATCATTCAACAGAAAACAAGAGAAAAGCTGTTGTGTACGGATCATGGCTGCAGAGCCTTCAAAAGGTCATAGGTAGGCATCGACACGTCCAAGCAAGCGCAAGCAGTGCTTCCCGCCGTGATGTTCGGTTTCGGCTTGTAGGGACACTGTGAAACCAGGAGAGGATCGTCTTGGCAAACGTTGTCGGACCAGAATAAGATACCCTCCATGCCAGGATTCAGGGACTGCTTTGCGGTGGAACATTCCTTGTCCTGGGTTGCTCTCCCCATCTATCCTATTGACGGTGTTGATGTACATTTAAGAGAAAGCTGAGAAAACCGGATGCCTCTAAAGGAACACTCGAGTAGCCACGTAGCACCAGCTTTTGCAGCACCAGGTATCTACCTGGTCTGGCCGGTAGTTGATGTCACAGTTTTGCATGTCCCACGTGCCGCAGGTGGCTCCGTAGCTGCTTGTAAATGTGGCATTCATTGCGGTGCTGAACCTGGGTGCTCTTATCATGGCAAGATCATCCTGAACCACGAAGGTCCACAGCTACGTCGAAGCGATATCTTCCAAGGAGCACGCTCGCAGAGTTCTTGCACTTACACGGATCGTTTTGCTCGGCCACAGATGTCCACGTGCAAGGCGAGGCTGGGCTCACAGTGTCGCAGGCGGCATAACTGAAGTACTGACCTGGGATCGCCTCACTTCGATATGCATCTGGACAGTCCTGCGATGCATAACACCAAGGTCGACAGCACCAGGAGCCCACTGACAGGTCACCTCAATGATGCATGCACGTCACTGGCCATCGCCCGCAGGATAACTGAGGCATAAACGCGATATAACATCACAACACTCTGATTTGAAGCCAAGCAGCCCCACAACTGGTCACATTTGGCGTTATCCCACGCCTGACACGAAGACCCATAGCTTTGACCATACTTGGCCTCCACCTCTTGAGGAATCGTCGCCGATGTACATGTGCATGAGCTTGGCACCGACGTACTTAAGTCTTCGAGCTGCACAGTGGTGTCGGACACGACCGTCTCGCCATTGTAGTCTAAAATCTTGAAACTTATCGACATTGCCTGGCAGGCGTCCAACAAATACCAAGTTGACGCCCATCCCGAAACACAACGACGCTGGGACCACGGATTGATCTGGAGGAAAGCAATCAGAAAGAAACTGCTGTATGTCAAGAAAACACGGCTCTTCGGGTTTGGGTGAAAGATGGTGAAAGTAAGCCTCTGGCACAGACAGCGAAACTCTCCTGCTAACTTACTAGTAACTCGCCATGAAGGTTGGTCATGACATCTCACTGCCAGCAGCAACAGCAGCAGCAGCCGTGGTTGCAGTTGTAGCAACACTAGCACGTTGATAGATGATGGGTCGAGAAGCAGAAGCAAGTGGGGGGCACCGAGAAACATGCGCAGCACAGTAAAGATGGCTCCGATTTCACAACCTCTGGAGTATGGATAAAAAGCATCTTCGTTCTGACCTGCTTGCTCGCGCGCATGAAGCTGACAATGTACGGGGAATCCATGTCCATTGAAGTCGTCTGCTCAATGCCCAAGTTGTAGTCCTCGGCTGTGCACTGCATCATCCGGCAAACTGAGTCAGTCGACATCTGACACACCAACCACTTCTTGAACAGAGCAGCCTTGCATCGGCTGCCCAGAAAACTACACAAGAAACTGGAAAACACGAACGTGCTCCAACATCAGATGCATCTGCCTGGGCGAACCCTACAAATCCCTGCGCAGATGACACATGTCTCGAGGCTTGATGTCACAGTGTCTGCGGGGGCAAACTGGAAACGGATCGGCCATCAACCCTCCACCTGTTCCCGGCATGCTCCCTCCAACCAAAGAACAACCCATGCATGACCCGAACCACAGGCATCTTGTTTGGAACCATCCTACAGCTCGGAGCTTTCCAAGATCGAATGCTCTGAAAAAGCATGGATACCCAATGGCGTAAGTGCCTTACTCGCCATAACAGTCCAGGATTCAGGAAGAACAGGCGCATTTGGATTGCTGCTAGTCGGCTTGGGGCACACCACCTGTTAACTCCAAGTCTTAGTCTCAGCGCTTACCATTAACAGCTGTACTTGCCAATGCTACTTTCTCTCCCTCTATTCTTCTGCAAGGCTTAAGCTCTTTCGTTCGTCAGGGCAGGGGTGCGGAGTTGCCCAGGCTTACTCGCCTCTTTGCTTTGCTTTGCAGGCTTACTCGGCTCTCTCTCTCTCTCTCTCTCTTGCTTGCTTGCTTGCTTGCTTGCAGGGCGTGTGGGGCGCAAGGACGGACCCTGCTACCCCTGCGCGCGAGCGGTACGCCTTGGTTCGTGTCTTGTGTGAAACTTGCGTTGGCGTGCTTGCAAGGCTGGTCCCCGGAAACAGTCGAAGTAGCAGCATAACAACGCACATGTCATCTAGTTGTCCCCCTGCCTTGCAGAGCACGTCTGTGTCCGTGTTCCCTTGCTGTGGGTATTCCACAAGGGGAAAGTTCGGGCCCCTCTCTCTCTCTCTCTCTCTCTCTCTCTCTCTCTCTCTTGCTTGCTTGCTTGCAGGGCGTTTGGGGTCAGGGGTTGGCCCCCTAAACCCCCGCGCGCTCTCTCTCTCTCTCTCTCTCTCTCTCTCTCTCTCTCTCTCTCTCTTTCTTTCACCAGGCCTGAGGGCGAACCCCAGTACTTAGGGAACGCCCGTCCGTTGACGGTTTGTATGGTATTACATGCGTCAGGCTAGGCTACTCTGGTTGTTCGTGTAAAATACAGATGCTGAGAAGCTTAGTCTACTCCTCGGTACGTGCAGCGCGGACGGCAGTTTGTGTGGCGCTGTACGCCCCGATCGACCGTGCCCTTTGTATTGGCTGCAGTGCCCCGGTTTAAGACAACTGCGATATGAGCGTACGGTTAGTTGTACAGTGCTTGGGGCGGCGGTCGTTTGTCTAAACTGCGCTCCGACACTGGCCCTACATCAATACATCGCCCCCTCTAAGTACAACTCTGCGGTTCTCTGGACGTGTCGGGTTTTTGAGTCTGCAGTGGCCTCGCTGGGGTTTGTTGCGCAAGCAACAACAGGACGTCTCTCTCTCTCTCTCTGCGTCTCTGTCGGTCTCACTCTCTCTCTCTTGCTTGCACTCGGCCAGAGGGCCTGGGCCCTCGCGCGCGCACCGGTCTTGTGGTCTGCGGTGACACCCCCTCTCTCTCCTCTCTCTCGCTCTCTCTGTCCTTGCTCTCCTTGCTACTGTTAGTATAGTCACGATCATCACGGTTGATTCCGTACGATGGGTATCATTTCGATCATGCCAGATGTTGATACCGGTACTACTCATACTGCTGTTCGTAACTAGGAATCTCAGGATGTCGCTCTTTTACTGTTCCAACACCATTTCCGAGGATTGCGGCGACCATCGCAACCTTGGCAACCACTACTTACTTACTATGTCAGCTTCTTTTACGAACGCTGAAGTGACAGTTCATTGTCTGTTGCCTTACCATGCTTCGGTTCGCAATGATGCGTTACAGCGCGACTCTTGCTCCGACCGATAAGACTACCTTGATCATTGTGATGACGTCACTGACAGTATTGGTTGGCACTCTGCTCGCTGCTACGCGTTGCAGCCAGTAGCACGGCTGGTGAGATAATGATTTGTCATCCTGTTTCCGGTAATTTATCACGCAGACTGTTTTGATGTTAATTACTGCTGGCAACTCTTCACAGGCCTGCGATAAGTCGACCACGTGAAGTGTTTCCTGGCTGGCTTGCCCCAGGGCCACAAACAGGAGCAGAAGCGGCGGCCACATGGCAATGCGAGCGCACGGCAGACTTGGAGCTGCTGGGAGGCCGCTTGAGCCGCGGCAGGAGGCCGGAAGCACACGCTGCTTTGCCAGTGGCCGATACTATTCCTGTTAGTGCAACTCTTCAACGATTGCGAGGATGGCGACATCGACGACGACCGCTACTACTTCTCCTTCTTCTTCGACTGCGAGTCCCACTGCTACTTCTACTCGTGGCGACGGCTGCCACTACCACTGCTGCTACTGCTACAGCTGCTACTGCTATTGCTGCTGCTGCTACTGCGATTCCCACCACTACCACCGAAGCACTTTCCGTCCAACTGCGCAAAAAAGCTCTACAGTGACCAGAACACTGCGACCCAACGACTGCCCACGAGTAGTCGATCAGGACATATTTCGAGCCCATGAACGGTCAAGACCTCTGTTGACAGCCTTGTATCCGTGAATCACCCGGTGCGGCCAGGAATTGGTCCTGAGATGCACAAACACGAGTATCACTCACGGTCTGGCATCACACGTATTCAGATTTCAAGGGTTCGCAGCTTCGTCGCTTGTGGTCATCATCGCCAACGTCACGACAAACATCACCATCACGCCGCCATAATCATGACCACAACTGCAGAGAAAGTCGACCATCAGAAGTATTTGCGAAACGTCACCACTATCAACCGCAACCTGCTTCTTCACTTACCTTTGTCAACCATCCTATTCCGTGCGTCGGCCTAGCCCGCCCCTAGCCGCTGTTGAGACTACGGGGCTCCGAAGCCCCTCAAGCCCGAACTGTGCAGCCGGACTGGTAGAAGCGATAGCTCTTGAGCAAGGCTTCGGGGAGCAGGCCCTCGGCTGTTTTGGGTCGAAAGTTCACGAAAGCCCGAGTGAATCGGATTGGCGGTTGTAGGCATGTTCCAACACTGGGGTGACTTCTGCACCGCGGCATTCAGACATTATCATTATGGTTCGGCTGCAGGACATTTGTTGAGGCCTCCGCATGCTGAAAAAAAAACGCTGTGGTTTGGGATGTGGCTTCGAGGGATACGACCATCTTTCTGTCTAGACGAATGGAAGCCGTCAACAGGAGTCCATGCAGTTGGTAAGTCGTTCGTTCACGCTTCAATCAGTACGAAGCCTTCACCCTGAAGCTGCAGAAACAAAAGGCACCAACAAGAGTAGCTCGCCAGTCTGTCAAACTCACGAGACGCCACGATCATTCGTAGTACGAATCGCCGGCGTGAAGTCTCTGTAGACTGAGGTAAAGGGCGGCAAGAGCTTTCCTCTACCACAAGCTTGTGTACAAGTAAAAGTCATAAGCCTTGATCACCTCCGAAACTTCGAACAAGCTATTGCAGACCCCAGATAGGGCGCGAGCCTCCAAGACCCTCGTTGGCAGGTATTGCCTCGGAAACCAACAGACGACTTCATCTCAATGAAGCGTCAGCAACACAATCTGCCCTTAGCAGCACCACGTCTGCACAGCAGGTGAATATGAATTCCTAGTCGGGCTCAGGGCTGAAGTAGTGCCACAACTGTGAGGTACAGGCTTTCGACTTTCTGCTTCAGTCAACAGTGATCAGCTTGCCTGAACCCCGGAAGACCGTCCAAACCCTGAACCGTAGACTTCAAGCAGTCTTCGGAGTTTGGATGTCGGAGGTTGCTATACTTACCAGGCTGCATCCTGAGGGGTCAAAGAAATCCGGGCGTAGGGGTTCCATGCCGACGGAGTTACTCCACCTAAGGCGAGAAGCAAGTGTTTTGCCGTGCAGCAACAGACAACTACAGTGAAAACCTTCAACACGGCAGCATCGTCATTCTTAATCTTCTTCGCCATCAACAGCATCCTCCCAAATCCAGACACCAAACAAGTCTCCTGTGAGGGATCCTACGTACAGGATCTAAGCACCCCCAAAGCAACAAGTCTTCATCACCATATGGGTGGTTGTCAAAATTATGGTCCCGTTTCGGGTCCCGAGTATAGTCCGGCACCTAATACTTAGGGTACCCAAAAAGGGACCACAATGTTGACAACCACCCATATTGAAGGAGTCCTCAGATCTGCCTATGAAATTCTCCGCTGGTACCGGGAGAGCTGCTCACCCTCACGCTGCGCTCGTTCCCAGACGGTGCGCTCACCTCAAAGGAGCTACAAAGAAATCTGCATAGTGCCAACATAGCTCTCTGTGTGCGTCTATAAATATATATTAAAAAATGTAGTACAGGCGTATATGTACATGTAAATGTATATATGTATATATGTATATATGTATAGATGTATATATGTATATATGTATATATGTATATATGTATATATGTATATATGTATATATGTATATATGTATATATGTATACATGTATATATGTATATATGTATATATGTATATATGTATATATGTATATATGTATATATGTACCTATACCTTTACATATATCTATATATAACAATGCATTGGTGCATGTATGTGCACATGCATGCAAGCATGTATGCATATAAGCAATATAAGCATGCATAGGGGGACGGATGGATGGATGGATGGATGGATGGATGGATGGATGGACAGACGGATGGACGGACGGATGGACGGACATACGGATGGATGGATGGCTGAACGAAGGCATGAATGCATGAATAAGAGAGTGATTGCCTGAAGCAGAGGAAGAAGCAATGGATGCATTGATGAACGATTGAACGAATGAGTGTATGATTGCAGGCCTGCACACAAGCATGAATGAATGTAGGTATTGTATGTGCTGTACTGTGTATGTATGCTGTCAGGTTACATAGCTATGTATAGTGTATGTATGTACTGTAAGTATTGTGTGTAGCGTATGTACTGCGTGTAATGTGTGTAGTGTATGTAATGTTTGAGATGTATGTAATGCATGTAATGTATGTAATTAATGTATGTAATGTATGTGATGTATGTAATGCATGGTATGTACGTATGTATGTAATGCATGGTATGTACGTATGTATGTAATGCATGGTATGTACGTATGTATGTATGTGTGTCTGTATGTATGTATGTATGTACGTATGTATGCATGTATGTATGTGTCTATGTATGCATGTATGTGTTTATGTACCTACGTGTGTACGTATCTTTTCGTACGTGCGATTATGCGTATGTATGATATGCGTATGTATGTATGTATGTATGTATGTCTGATTCTGTCTGTATTGTATTGTAATGTATGTAGGTATGTATGATATATGTATGCATCATGCGGCAGGGGACGCCAAAGCTGATCGGCAACGCGCTTTGGTCGCCATGTGCTGCCTACCTACCTACCTACCTCTGTTGCTGATCACGCCTCTACAGGCAACAAAAGAAGAAGATACTGTATGGGAAAAAGTTGACCGGGCTCGAACCCCAGAGTTTTCATGTTGCCTGGCCTTCGTCGTCCTCCTCCTCACTCACGTCGCCTGCGGTAGGGTTCAGGGCCTAGCTATGACTGTTTAAGACCTACGACCTAAGACGGAAGATTATCAGTAGTTATTCTGACTCCTACACTGACAGTTTCTGATGTCCAGGATCAACTCCAGTGCCCCGAACATCCGCGAAAATCGAAAGATTTCCCAAGGCGTGCCGTCTGACCACTGGGCATCGTCGTCCAGCGGCTCCCGGCCATCCTCGCCTTTGCCCTTGGGAGGATCTCGGCCTGTTGCTGACTACTGTAGCTTCTGGGATCCGTCAGGGACGGGAAGCTAAGCCCCGTCTGCTGATTGTTTGTTTATCTGGAGACAGATCCTGATCCGTGGAATCTGCAGCGCTATGACGATGAACCACGACAATGACGACACTTCCTTCTGACACAATCGATGACACGGGTAGAGCACTGGTAGAACAGCAGGGAAAATCTCAACTTGATGGACATGAATAAAACACTGCAGGCACTCTCGACGGCCTCAGACAGTCTCTCCGACTCCAGCAACCGAGCAGTTGAGCCCTGAACATATCTGAACATCTCTGAAGGACAATCGTCTACATTACACCCGATACTTCCAGCCATTTATCCGAACTTCCAAAACCGACACGTCTAAATCAATCTACCGGATCAGCCATGATCATAGTCATCGTAACGGTGCACATACAATTCCGGCATTGGGAGTCTGGCGCACAAGTGTGCGTGAGAGCACCACGCTAGCAGGGAACTTCTGCGGCTCAATCTCAGGCTTGCCAGCCTCCCAGGTTTGGCAACAGATCCGCGAGATGCTCATGAGGCTTCACACGAATAGGTGTTCCACATGATCCCGCCGAGCGCACAGCGTGGACTCGGACAGCTCAGACTCTGGTCTTCAGGTGCGTTGGCAAGGCAAGGCAGTAGTACTCGATAACATGCGCTGCACTTGGCAGAAACAGCCACAAGCCTATCGTTGTAGGCCGAAGCCTGAAAGCTTGGGCTCAAAACGGAAAGCAGCAGATCTTAAAGCATGACCATGAATGAAGCGACAAATCGGTCCCGAAACGAAGGCTACCAAAATCCATGCTGCCAGGGCTTCACACAATCTCCGCCGCTACTGAAGGTAATCTTGCGAACACCCGGAAGAGGAGGCCAGGCCGGCTTGGCCCAGATCATGAAAACCCCCCCCCAACAAAAAGATCCTACAAGGCAGATAAGCCAACTGAGGAGCATGAACCGGCCTGGTGACGTCCCCATTCCGGCCAGGGCGATGGGCGATTCTGAAAAGCGGGCTGCAGGCCTGGCCCAGGGTCAGAAGCCGGCAGGTAGACGGCCATCGAACTTGTCTTCAAGACGTACACATATCATACAGGAAAGCTCTGCAGGATCACAGGAATCATAGGTATACAAATGTGTACATAGATAATTAGAGAGATAGATAGATAGATAGATAGACAAATAGACCGATAGAAAGGATTATCATCAGTTTAATCGCATCTTCTTGCATATGGAGACATACTGTTGCATGATGTGTATTATCACATGCAGTCACACTTTTCCATGCCAAGTGGAGGGGCTCTAAGCAGCAGCAAGCCAGGTTGAGCTGGCCC